AAGGTCGAAATTGCTAGCTAAATGTTTTTTTAGCGAAATTGCGTATTGTACGTTTTTTTCGCAAAACGAAACCCTTACTCCATATCTTTTAATATACCTTATTCTTGTTTATTATCACATTAATTTCCCTATTATTGTAACTCTTAACAGTATGGGGGTTTTTAAGGGTGCACCCGCATGTACGTTTATTTGAGAGGAGGAGGATTACCCTCTCAATTTTGAACGCTTCGTTAACTTAATATCTCGATGAATATTGGATTAAAATTGAATTTGCCCATACCAATATATCTGATACAATATCCTTAAGTTTTACTAAAAAGAATTTTTTAAAATCCCTGCAGATTCGGGGATTTTTAAATTTTTCCTAAATGTTAGTCACCGTTACGGTTTTTTCTTTTTTTGGGGGCTCGCAAGCTCGCCCCCAAAGAAAAAACCGTAACGGTGAGCTCACATTTCGGCATAGTTTAAGTCTAGGTTTTGCATTTTAAAATGTTTGTTACCTTATCTTCTTTCAAAAAGTGGCAAAAATTTGTTTGAAATTTGAAAAAGATATTTTTATTTGCATAAATGACATTCAACTAAGCTGTAGCATGATTCTTTTGCATGCTCTAGTTTTTTTCTCAGTTCAATCTCCTTCCATACTCTTGCTTGTACCAGTAAGATCGCACCAAAATTCTCAAAAATTAAGATCTCCAAATTTTATGTCCAACTCCAATTATCAAACGCCCTCATTAACGCCACTCATAGCCATCTTTCATGCATGAGAAATCGTTATTAGAAGATTTTTTACGGCTAATTATCTGATTCAATTCAGATCAATACTCAAAGCCCATTATTTATTAATAAATCCTTGTTTGTCGCCTATGCGAATAAAAATTCTTTTTATATTTTAAACAATTTTTTTCACTTTGGAAGGAGAAAGGTGACTAACATTTTAAAACTGCAAAAACCGACTAAACTATTTTGATTTTTTTCGAAAATTTTTCGGGAAAAAAATATTTTCAGAAGAGCCTTAACGGCTAAGTTTTATGTTTAATGTTGAGTATCAAAAAGAATGGGCATCTGATATAGCCATCATATATCCCAGAAGCAAATAAAAATTCTGACTTTTTAAGCATAAAAAATGAAATTTTATTTTTTGCAAAAAACAGGCCACCCGGATGTACGTTTATTTGAGAGGAGGAGGATTAAATTTTTGAAAGCACTAAAATTTGTAAATATGCTAGTTATAGAATAATATGCATTATTTTAAAAAATAAAAATTAAAGCACGTTAAAATCTTTTTTGATGAATTTTTACAAAAGCTACTCAGGATAATGCAAGATATGAGTAGTTAAACATAAATTTCAAATCAGACTTTACTTATAATAAATATTTTAAATTTCCGAAAATTAAGTTCAGATCGACTCTATACGTAGTAAATACTAAATAAGGTGCCAAAAACCTATTAAACAGTATCAAAACTATCAAGATTGTAATGTTTTTGAAGAAAAATTTATAGAATTATGGACTTCAAACAGATATTATGTAAATAAAAATAATATAATGAATTTATTTATTCGTATAATAGCAGTAATAAGTCGATTATTCACTTCTACTTCTGAGATTTGAATTTAATTTCGACAGAAAAAGAGATTCAAGAGGAAAATACTAGGGGATACAAACAGCCACCATGACAGGATTATTATGGAGCCAAGTTGTATTTTTTGATATTTTTAGAGCCGAAAGTTTTTTGTCCAAATGTTAAACTATTCAGACAAAATTTCCCAGCTTCAGAGAAGGAATAGGAGCCTACCAGGCACTGATATATAATCAGTGCTTTGTAGGCTCCTATTCCTAATAGAAAGTTCGAAAACTCGGTCGCAATTGCATCTGATTGCGACCGAGTTTTCGAACTTTCCCGAGGGAATTGGAGGGTGGGAGGTACATAGATAGACTTTGTATCTCTCACCCTCCAATTCCTTCGGGAATGTTCGAAAACTTTGGTGCAATCAGCAACGATTGCACCAAAGTTTTTGCGTTTAATTGAAGGAATTGCTCTTTATGATATATACAGTTACAATGCATATATCATAAGGAGCAATTCCTTCCAGATATCTGGCAAACTTGCTCGCAATGGTTCACAATTGCGAACAAGTTTTGTCATTTGTCAAGAGAAATTAAACCCTGCGAAGCGCCAGTTCTAGACTGGTACCTCGCAGGGTTTAATTTCTCATATTGGTAGCTTTTTATGTTTTTATATTAACAATAACTCATGAAAAAGATTTGCTTATATAAGAGGAAACTCTCTATCAGAGGTGCTGAATTCATGCATTCGCATCTGATAGAGAGTTTCCTTTTATATAAGCAAATATAAGAGAATCTATTTTTTTTGGAGCGTATTCTCAAATATTGAATACTTACGAAAAGTGTTTTTTTCTAAAAATTTAATATTATGCTTATCAATATCCATAAAATCCAAATATCTATTATTATTTTCTATATATTACTTTTCATTAACCCTTGAAAAGTCTTCTGAAAATCCATTTTTGGTTATTTTTTTGATATATCTAAAGATTGGATATTAATTAACTCATCTAGACTATTTTTATTTTTTTCATTTCAAAAAATTATATGAGCATCTCAAATTAACTTTCAAATTTTTTATTTTAAATTCATACTTATAATTATTTTTTAAGATACTTTTTTGCCCAAAAAATAATCGTACTTCCTCGACGATTAATCTCCTCTCAATTTCTATCGTTGACACTACTTAGCATGCAACAAAAATGATATACAATATAGATTGATATTATGTATTAATCTATAAAATAAAAACTTTAGAAGAAATAAATTATAATATTTTTTAATAAACATCAATTTTATTAGTATTTCATATATATGCATCCATACATGTATTTGATATTATATCCACCGAGATCCTGTTCGTAGGACTTGCAGATAACGCTAGACTGTTTTAGCGTGGATTTTCATTGAGATGCAACTTGGAAAAAATTGAAAATCTGGATTTGAACCTTCGACCTCTACAGTCGAAAAACGGTTCCACGCTAAAACAAAATCCACGTTAAAAACCCCCATACTGTCTTAATTTCAATTACTTAACTAATCAATTGTTACACTTTTCTAAGATGTTCTTAATAATATAATCATGTCAATATTGACAACGCATTTTCTTCTAAATATAGGTCATGCTATCCATTGATTTGCTATTGAATGATGGATAAAAAAAGATCATTTGGCTTTGAGAATACAGTTGATAAGTTAAATTACAACAAAAGCATTTATACAGTTAAACAAAATATTAAAATAAACATTACAATTATTTGAACATACTGTGAATTCGAAAACATCTGTAAAACTTTTGATTTCCATCCAAAGAACAACTTTGTTCGCATCAAAAGAATCACCTGTACTAGATCTTATCACCCAAGGCCCAGGAAATGTATTTGGATAACGATAGTTAACGTAAGCTCCAATTGCAAAATGCCAAAAAGAGGAATTGCAGCATTGCATATATGTCGCATCCGTTGGACTAAGCATAAGCCCATTCCATATTTCTCCTGTCCAAGTGGAAGATTCATCTGTTTCTAATCCCAAGTCTTTTTTAGATGAGTAATTTCCAAAAGGGGATTGAGATTGACTAAAAATGTTTTCGCCGGCATGTCCAGGATAACGTAATATAAAAGAATATCGTAAAGTTGGTCTATTTATTTGAGGAATGTATTTTAGGATGCTGAAAAGATTAGGGTTTTATTTAAAGCTACATTTTCTGGTGTGAAAAAGCCAAAACTTGCGTTATGCTCAAATATTTTTATCCATTTTCTGTTTTTGTAACTCATAAGTTGGTATCCATCAAGGGAAAATGGTACATTATCAATAGGTTCGCTAAATGATGTTTCAATTGACAATTGTTTTTTAAGATTTCTGGTATTTTCATTTTTGGTCTTTGATAACTGCAATTTATCATCATCTACAACATTGTGAGGGTAGGGAGGACAGTTTAGAAATGAAATTGTTCAAACAAAATTAATTATCGAAAATTGAATTGATAAAAATACTTCTAACATATAAACCAATCAGAAACGCCTCAAAGTTCAGCTATTCAATCAGCATAATATCATAGAAATCACTGAACAAAGTTGGAAATGGATTTTTTTTTGAGAGAAAGAAAATTTCAGAATGGCTAAAATACAAAAATAGTTTAGTCGGTTTTTGCAGTTTTAAAATGTTAGTCACCTTTCTCCTTCCAAAGTGAAAAAAATTGTTTAAAATATAAAAAGAATTTTTATTCGCATAGGCGACAAACAAGGATTTATTAATAAATAATGGGCTTTGAGTATTGATCTGAATTGAATCAGATAATTAGCCGTAAAAAATCTTCTAATAACGATTTCTCATGCATGAAAGATGGCTATGAGTGGCGTTAATGAGGGCGTTTGATAATTGGAGTTGGACATAAAATTTGGAGATCTTAATTTTTGAGAATTTTGGTGCGATCTTACTGGTACAAGCAAGAGTATGGAAGGAGATTGAACTGAGAAAAAAACTAGAGCATGCAAAAGAATCATGCTACAGCTTAGTTGAATGTCATTTATGCAAATAAAAATATCTTTTCAAATTTCAAACAAATTTTTGCCACTTTTGAAAGAAGATAAGGTAACAAACATTTTAAAATGCAAAACCTAGACTTAAACTATGCCGAAATGTGAGCTCACCGTTACGGTTTTTTCTTTGGGGGCGAGCTTGCGAGCCCCCAAAAAAAGAAAAAACCGTAACGGTGACTAACATTTAGGAAAAATTTGAAATGATGTAAACCATAATCTTTGTCAAAATTGTCATCGTAATTTTAGTTGTAAAAAAATTTTTAATGTTTTTAGCTTTGCTAGTCACTATATAAGAAGTTTTATAGATATGGATGAAAATGAAACTCATTTTGAGGCTGTTTTTCTATTGGAATAATTCAATCAAAATATTATTCTAGCTACCTACCAAATAAAGTGATGCTCGAGAAAGTCTCTGATTTCGATGACTATGATCTTTCGTTTGAAATTGAGGAAACTTATAAGAAGATCGCAAAATTAGAATTCAACTTAACAGGCAAAGATGAATACATATGCTCATCATTAACAGATGATATGAGTCGTGATGTGAATGGTTTAATTTCACCTAAATCTATCGAATTTTTAGTATTACGTCATGATGACCAGCTTTGGTACAAGTATGACCTGCGCCAAAAACCATCAATGTTTTCGAATTCAATTGTTAAGGTTGTAATTGGAGTCATAATTTATATGATAATTGGAATTGCTTTGATCTTCAAATTCTCTAGGAAATCGAAGAAGGTATCCTAGAAAGAATAAATTTTGTACATATTGTTGAATAAAAAAAATTATTAATAAGAAATTATTTTATTCAAACAAGAGTGAATAAGGATAAAGAGAATAGGAAAGAGTATATGGTGAAATACGATGTTACACGTGAGAATACAGTTAAACAATCGTGTTGCTTACCCAAATGGCACAATGTATTAACAATGAAGCTATGAGATCCATTATATGATAAGTAAGGTGAGATAGAGCTAAAGGAGTTTCTATTAAATGAACAATAAGTGAAAGAAATTTGCTTATTGATAAAAATTTTTGCTGTATTTTCTGAAAATACACAATGATCAACAGATGATGATGTATCAGCGACTTGGATGAAATAGTAGATAGGATCTAAAACTTGATTTTTATAAAAATTTGAAATTTTAACATAAAACTTTGAGTCTGAATAGAATATCGTATTTATTGTAGCATTACATGATAAGACGTTAACAAAGGAGGCATTCGCTTGTCCATATGAATTTCCGAAGTAAAAACCAGGAGAATTTTGTGCTTTATTATTCGTAGAATTATAGTATGATAGAGATGTTTGCCCACCTCCTAACCAAATCATATCAGTAACAGTCGGCTTAGAGATACAATCAGCTAATGAGATTGTTGAAAGATCATTTACGCTTTCTGATGATGATGGAATGCTAACATAACAATAATGTCCTTTAGTGGTTGAATAAACGTTTCGAGCACAAATGCTTGATTGATAAATCAACTGACCAGTGTTGAAGAAAACACAGCCACCATTTTGGGTTGACGTAACTGTGTTAAATGTATCATGTTCGAGAGTTAAAACTGAATTCGATTGTGTGAGGCGAATAGCGCCATCATTGTTGATGTTTTCGAACAAAACACCACTAAGATGGAAGTTGAAAGAAACTGACTTGCTTGATCTCTCGTCTGGAGTAAGTAATGTCCAAACGTCGTTACTCTTAAAGAATTCATTAGATGAAAAATCAGGCAATTCAGCCGATCAAAAATTGAAATTTTTTCAGATTTGATTTTGACATTTTTTACAGTTCAACAGAAAATTGAGAGATGAAAAATTGAAAAGAAAGTATCAATTTTTTATTAGGAACATAACGTTTTTTGAATTGATGTAATGCTTTCGTAGCTCAGTAGGTAGAGCGTAGGTCTCATAATCCTAAGGTCGCGAGTTCGAGCCTCACCGAAAGCATTGATTTTTTTTTCTATCTTTTTTTTCATAATTCCAAAGCTTTCCTTTTAATCGATAATCTTCAAGGTTTATCTTATACACATTCTATGTCTTTTCTTCTTTAATTGACGATGTTTGAAACTATGTTTATCGATTAATCTCACGAATTTTTCTCAATCGATCTTCTTTAATTGACAATTTTTAATCATTTGCTTATTGGTTAAATTATAATAATAAAAACAATTAGATTGATAAATACAAACTTTTCCTCCCCTTCACCAAGGAAAGTAAAATATGAAAATGGAAGAGAAACGGAATATGCTTAGAAATCTTTTTATATTTCACTTCACATAGAAAAGTAGAATATAAATCCTTTAAAACAATTTCCTTCATATCTATCGTTCTATGAATATACTCTGCATTTGTTATGAAAGTATTATCAGATTCAAAATAACACTCACTTGCCGAAAGCGTTCCATCAGTAGCTGGAAATATAGCGATCAAATCATATGCCTTATTTCCTTTAAAATAGCATCGATAAACGTTAATGATTGCATCCCAAACACAAAATATCCCCAAATAATCTTGCGTATCTACAATTTTGTTGTCAATAATATTACAAAAAGAAAATTGATGTGTTTCTTCGTATGACATAAAACTGGCTAAAGTGGAAGATGAAAGGTTTTCAAAATTGCTATAATTTACTATAGATAAAGAAAATGGACTTCGAATACTTAAAGCCGAGGCTTCATTAAATGAAGAATCTGAAATATTAATAGATGAATAAACTAATTTTCCGCCTTTATGATCTAAAACGCTTGAGAATCCTATGTTTTTATTAATAGATGATTGAATAATTAAATTCAAATTTTTATCATCGATTGTTGCAATAACTCGTGAATGTGAACCGAAATTAGATACTTTGGTTTCATAACTGCAAATTTTATACTGAACACACGATCCTGAATTGTAGAATAAGATTGATCCACCAGATTCATCATTTGAACATTTATAAAATGAAGAAGTTGAAATAAGTAGCTTCGTTTCTTCTGTTGAACTAATATTGATAACAGCATCTTTAATAAAATTTTTAAAAAGGACATGATCAACAAATACATGCTTATTTTCATTGACTTTTCGACTTTTATTAACAACAGTATTAATTAATGCTTTACTATAAAATCTTTCCCATATATCATAAGATGGTCCGGATGAATGTATACAATTAAATCCCTCCCTTTATATATGTTTATTTTTTTTTCAAAGAAATAATAATTGAGACAACCTTCTCAATTTTCCAATCAGAACAAATATTTCAATTCTATAACTAATTTTACATTAATAACACAATGGAATCTAATTACATTTCATTTAAAATACAACAGTAAATTTAATTGGCCTTTTTATTTTTTGAAGTATGGGAATATACTCATATTTTTACTCTAACGATTCAAGATTGTGGGTGAGAGATATGAAAAATAACAGGTTTGAAATCAACGAAAAATATTTTTTTAAATGTTTATTTAGCTTCAGCTTTTTGTTTTTCAGCGAGAGACATCCAAACAGCCAAGTTGGATTTGAGTTGTTCAACATTTGCTTGCAGTTCAGGGAATATGGTTGCCACAGTGTTATACAATGGCAGACAAACAAAGTTGTAGAAACCAATTTGGGATTTCGGTTTATCTGGATGTTCTCTGTCATTTTGTGGCGATGTCAAACCCATTCCAGAAGACTTTTCTCTGTCACCTTGTCTGAAGTATTCATTATTGAGGATATCAACCCATTTATTAGCGATTTCAAATGGTCTTGCGACACTTGAAATATCAGCAACTTTCATAATTAATCCCATTGCAGATTTTCTGTCTTCTTCATTTTCCAAATTGAACTCACCAGCTTCAATTTTTGCTTTAACTGCCTTGATAATATCATAATGTCTAGCCATATCTGTACCAAGAATGAACTTAATCATCATTTGCCAGAACTTCTTTGTGTCTTTCTCATCCAATGCGTGAATGATATTATAATTTTCATCAGAAATAATATCAATAGACATTGTTAAATGATGAGTTTCCATGACAGAAGTATCCTTAAACAAAATTCCTAATGGCGTTTCTGCTCTGATATTAAAGACATTATTGTATCCTTCATGATCAATATCATGGCAAAGATCTGATGTCAACAAAGCTAAGATTCTAATTTTGACAAAACATTTTGAAGATTTTGAGAACAAATTTCGAAACACAAAAACTCCAAAACATCGCAAACATGCATGAAATTATGATAAGGAACATCATTATAAGAAGATCTTACCTTGTAAATGAATCTGAAGAAGAGTTCATTAGATATATCAAATTCTTTCAACAAACCAAATTTGTTATACAAATAAAAGATTTCTTTGATATGATTCAAACCTTTCCATTCATGAGAGAAGAAATTCCTCGAACTAAAGATCTTTTGCTGCTCTTCAGTTAACATTAATTTCGCTGGAATAACACCAACTAAACTACGTTCAGGTTCTGTAATGTATTTATTCATTTCTATGTTCGATTGTCCATTCATTGCGAGTAATTTCAATCTATCATTTTCAATGGCAACGGATGCCAAAACAGCAAAGTTTTCAACAATTTGTTTGTCAAGTCTATTGAAATCATTGTTGTTCTTGTTAACGATTTCAACAACACCAATTAAATCTCCAGAACCATTCAATATCGGACAAGCCAACAAAGATTTTGTCTTGAAATTGTTTTGTTCATCAAATGATCTATTGAAATCATTCGATGAATAAACATCATTGTTAATAACTGTCTTCTTTTCTTTCGCACAATAAGCAAAGACAGTTGATGATATCTTTGATTTTGATGATAGTAAAATTGGTGCAATCGCAACTGAATTTAGTGCCTTACTTACAGATAAATTATTTGATACAAATTATCTCTTAACATTATTCCATGATATTTGCAAATATTATCCTAAATGCACTAAATACATATGTAGTCTCATTGATTCTATCTTTCAGAAGTATCATAACTACAACGGAATTGAAAACTTAAATATTAATGAAAAAATACAAGTCTTCCTTGTCAAAAAAGGATACATACAGAAACAAATACCAAATATCTACAAGAATGTTAGCGCTGACAAGATCTTTGACGTTTATCCTGAAGATGAAATTAAAAAGCAAATTTTAAAAGACAAAAGTTTAAAATTAAGGGAGGCTTACGACCAATTGTCACTTTTTGGACCTTGATGGGAAAATGCAACTTCGCAAGGTCCCAAGGTCCCGAAAACCAAAAAAATTGATGAAAGCTAAAAATGCTCAGTACAGTATAAAGGTTCATGTCCTACCGCTCAAACTTTCTAATTCTTTCAAAAATTTAAAATTTTAAATTCAAATTAACTAAATACTATCATTTCAAAACTAAAACTCATACAGAAAGTAATCTAATGAATAAGCGATGTTGAATCATAAGGCATACATGACTGATTAAGTTAATTTTATTATGATGTATATGATGAGAAAATTAGATTGAAATCAGTATTAAATTAAATGTCATTAGTATGCTATAATATGTGTCGTGTTTTCATTTGATTTTGAGAATATAACGCTTTTGATAATCTTGAATAAGCGATTCCGAACGTTTGTTTAAGGAGACTTTATAATTTTTAACCTATGTGCGTGGTGATTGTACTAGAGAATATGTTGTTAAAAGTTGTAGAAATGTGTTTCTTTTACATGAAAATTATGAAAAAGAAAAATGTTTCAATTTGAGAAATATAGTTCTACATAATAACACATATGGAAATAAAAAAAAAAAAAAAAAAAAAAAAGGGATTGGGGCTTCCAGGCACTTCGTGCCTTCTAGCCCTGATGTTGATGTTTAGTATAAATGAAGTTTTTATTCGGAGGACTCTTCTTCTTCCTCCATTGCTTCTGGGAAGAAGCCTTCTTCTGGGTGGAAAACATTATATAATGTGTCGCTTTTCACAAATTATATATGTTTTCATGCTTTGTCACTTTTCTGTCACTTTTCAGGAAAAAACATTTTTATTATTATATATAAATGAATTTTACAAACCACCGTTACCGTTCTTTGGAAATAAGAGTAAATGTAAAGATATTATATTGAGAGAACTTAAGAAACTACCGAATGGTCTAACATTTGTAGATTTGTTCGGTGGAAGTTTCTATATATCCCATTTGTGCCATATAATATTCCCAGACTCAAAGATTATATGCAATGACTTCGACAACTATATGGACCGTCTCAAAATATACCAGACACAACAATATATTGAAAGAGTTAAAAGAAAAGATCTATAGGAAGAATGGACGTATACATTAGATAAGAAAAATATTGTGAGAGAGGTTTTGAAAAAAGCAGAATATATAGACTGGGATAGTATATCTGCTAGACTATTATATAGTGGTTCTATAAGAGTTCATGACATTGAAACACTTATGTCAAAAGTTTTATATCTTAACTATACAAATGTTTTCAAAGAGGACATAGAAAAATATATTGAGGTATAGAGTTTGTGAGATGTCATTGGACAGAGTTGTATGAAAAATATAAAGACAAGGAAAATGTTTTCTTATAGTGGACCCGCCGTTCTATAACACATGGGATTTTCAATACCAAGTAGACTGGACTTTGAGAGACTCTTTAGAAACTTTAGACGTTTTACATAACCATCCATGCTTTTACTTTACATCCGATAAAAGTGGTTTGGAAACCGTTATGAGATGGTTAGAGGACATACATGACTATGAGTTTATATATGACAAGATAGAATATGAGAGAGGTCCTATAAACTGGAGAAAGTGTCACAATAAAGAAATTTTATTAGTAAGTAAATGTGGTTTGAAATAGGACTACTTGTTTTAGGTTTTTCCATTGTGTCATTTATTTATTTGACGTGGCAGAAAAGTACAGAGATATGAAGATGAACCAATGCCTGCAAATGTTCTGCATATGTACTCGTAAGAGATATTTTTATCTAATATTAAATGGACGCACAGAACTTAGCGAATGCACAGATGGACAACCAAACCAGAGAATATTCCAAATGAAGTTAGAATACAAACTGCAATGGCAAACTATGGTCAAGTGCCAACAGATGTACAAATGCAAACTGCCATGTCAAATGACGCTGCGTTAGGTTTGCCACCATGGTATGCAAATATGAGATGGAAAGAGTTTTATACAAACCCTGAAGTGGGATATAAACAACTTTATGCAGATGACGCGAACACAGGAGTTGACCCAGAATATGTTTTCTACCAGAGGAGAAACAGAATGTATGAGCTCCAGTTAAGAATGCTATGGAACTCAACAGGAAACGTAAGAGACTAGGCGGACATTAGATTTTTACATATAGTAAAATGGGTTTCTTCAGTAAGATAGGAAACTTCTTTCGAAATGTTGAGAGGTATATGGAATAAAAACCGTAGGAAGAGGAATTGGAACGGAGTCAAAAATATTGGTAAAGAGTAGGTCAGTTTGTTGGTATTATACCTAAAGACCTGAACCAGAAAGAACAAGCTCCTGTTATACCAGCCTGAACCTGCACACAGTCTAGTTGGCAACCAAATCCAACACCTCAACCGTATTAAAAAATTATATTTTTACCGTTCGATAGTAGTTGTATATGAAACTAAGTTCTAAGTAAAAACGCATGGTATAATGAATTATTCTTTTTCTTCCATCTGTAGTAAACCATACTTGAAAGTCTGAAATACTTCCACTTGGTGGTTTATAACTTTGTAGGTTTTTCGTAAAAGTCATTTGCCAAGCATAAGAAAGAGTTTTGGGCGCCAGAAAATGAAGATGAACAATAATAGCAGCTGGGTCGAAAACATCTTTAAATAAATATGGTTCATCTCTTGCATATCGACTGTAAATATTTGCTGGAAGTTCGACTTTCTGATTTAACATTTTTGCAAATAATACCATGACATTGCAGTGAATTCTGTATATATTTGTTCGTCTTTCTTTGGATTGTCTTCGTAGATTTGAAATGACACTTGTGAATTTTGTTTGTCATATACAATTCTCACATAAAGTGTGCTCTCGGTATTTGCATATTCATCAGCATATTTTGCATAACATGAATTTATTTTATCTTTATATTTTTTTTAACGCAGTCTGTAGAGAAGATGAAAGGTCAACTTGTATTAGCTCAATTTCTTCCCAATTTTTCGTTTCCCTTCAGATATATAATCTATATGAAACCTTACAATAAATGGAAAACTTTTATCTTCTACAGACACAAACTTCATTCTACGAAAGCCAATGCTTTTGTGACAGATGGGTCTCTTAGCCATCTTAATGGGTAGTCAAAACCGATAGCCTTCATGCTTTACGGTCTCTGTCTCAAACTTTGACCGACATTAGTAAAAAGTTCATCTAATGGTTTAGTTGTAGCAACTCTTGAATTTTCTTTTTCTATTGGAAGCATATTTTATCTAGAATAAAAATGTCGAAAGATATTGCTTCTATGAGAAAATACAACACAACCGACAACTCATTATGCAAGCTCTAAATAAGAACACAACAAACTTTTCAAACTATTCTAAGATATCTGAGTCATTGAAAGAAGGAAACTTAAAACTGACATTAAACCCAATGACAGATGAGTTTCTGTTTCAAGACAAGAAGAACCATACTGTCTGTATAAATCCAACAAAAGGAACTTTAAACGAGAAACCTATAAATGAACTTCTTTTGAAAGCAGATGTTGACAACAAAGCTGACAAAGAATATGTAGACGATGCAATAGCAAAAGAAGAAGAAAGAGCTAACAATGCTTATGCAACAAAAGAACATACTCATCCTGAACTAGCAGACAAAACATATGTTGACAATAAAATGTCAAGTGAAGTGACAAGAGCTGAAAACGAATATTCTAAAAAGACTCATACACATTCTATATCTGAAATAACAGACTTACAAGAAACCTTAAACAGTAAAAGTGCCGTTGGACATACACATACATCTTCTGAAATAACAGACTTAAACGTTAGCCTTGAGAAGAAAGCAGATAAGAACCATACACATACAAGTTTTACAACTGTTGCTATAGAAAGTATTGAAGGAACGGTTGACGTAACTGGTGGGGATGTATTATATTGTAAACCTCCTAACTTTCCACACGGTTTAACATCGGATGACGACATAACGACGATGAGAAACATTAGATGTAAAGATGTTTATGTCATGAAGGATGAATATAATACTAAATTCACTGCTCAAGATTTATATGACAAGAAAGCAGACAAAAAAGAGCTTCAAACATTAAAGACAGAAATACTTCAAACATTATATCTATAGGTCTATTTATACGTCAATGAACTCAACAAATCCAGAAACAGTTCTGGGTTTTGGAACTTGGACTCAAATAGTCGACAGGTTTTTGTATTGTGCAAACTCTTCAAAAGGAAACAGGTGGAAGTAAAACGATTTCAGGTGAAAATTACCTGCACATAGTCACTACATAGATTTAAGTACATCTCAAGCAGGTTGGCATAAGCATGATATTGGGATTGGTCAGCAATGACAAAAGGTAAAGGATATGATGTTAAAGACAACGTTAAGTTTGCTATAAATTGTTACTGGAGTAACACTGAGGGAGGAGGAACCATACACATCGCGTTTCAGGATATTACGCAAACAACGGGACAAGTAAAGACTACATGCCACCTTACATGACAGTTTACGCATGGTATAGAAATGCTTAGTCGTCATTTTCAACTTCTTTAGCATATTCGTCAGGAGTTGTCTTATATTTGTTAGGAACTGTCTTTGAAAGTATACCACTTGAACTTTGACAAGTTGAAACGAGGTCTGACAATAGTAGTTTTATCTTCTGCTTGCAGTCTGTACATTTTGCCATGTTTGCCTAAAACTTCATAATATTCTCTTGTATACTTTCTTCTATTTTTACGAACACGAATGTGAGTACCTGTCGGGTTCCCATTGTTGTCAATAGTCAATAGTATTTTCATATGGGTCGCGTTTAGGTATTTCTATTTTTACTTTGTCACCTTTCTGAAGTTTGAAGCCCGGCATTCTTTCTTGTTTGTCTCTTTTGACTAAATTATTAAATATATAGTCTTTCTCTAAGTCAGGGTTGTTTTCATTTCTTCAGGGGAGTGGTTTCCCAAACTTTTTGTTTACGGCTATTGTAAATATTTAAAACTTGTCTCATCTTTGCCTGGGAGAAGTGTCTATATTTGTCGTCATATGACATTTTCATTTGCTTCACCACCTTGTGGTTGGTTTTAAGTCTCTTAACATTTTTATACAACCGTCAATGACACCAAGAGCAGAATGGTTTTGGTCGACAATGAAATATTGGTTTACATTTTTTGAACGCAGATAGTTTTTTACATTCATCTGATTTGAAAGAACTTTCACAGTCAGATGTCAGTTTTGTTGGATGGTATTTTGTCAACGAATATTGTCAAAGCAGTTTTCACATCTAAAATATTTTTGGACCATAATGGTATGGCTTCACAGTATCTTGTGTTTTGACGACAAATATTAGCCAGTATGGTGGTCCATCTTCTCTATACCTCGGAATGTTTTCCAAGATATCCATAAACCAAGCATTTGGTGTTGAACTAAAGATTTTTATCATGAGTGCTTTTTTTGTTCCTTAGAAACATAAGGGGTCCTTGTTTGGATTCGTCATTTTTTAACCCATAAGAAATGGGTTTATTTGGCGCATTAGCAGGAGTTGCATCCAGATTTTTACCCGCAGTGGGAACAATAGCCAGAGGTGTATTTGGAGTTGGAAGGAAGATTTTGAGTACATTAGGTATACTTAAGAGAAAGCACAACCTATTATACAAACTGTACAGAAAGGTTGGGATGTAGCACGAGATGCAACAAATCTTATTCCAAAATCCTGAAACAAGAGGAAAAGTTCAAGGATGGATGGACAATGTAGGAAGACAAGCAAGGAAACTATTATAACAAAGCAAATGACTACTATAACCAAGCAGGACACTATATGGACCAAGTGTGAAGATTCTTTAACAGAGGATATAACCATGCACAACAGTGGGTAAACAATAACCAACCGCAACCACCTCAAACTTGGGAATGTAAAGTTTTTTACTGAGATGAAATGAACAATACAGCATTGAGACAAATGGGTTCAAGATGGATTTGTCGACTTCCAGCAGTTACACCACGTGTTTGTCAAGTTCTTCCTATACCTCAGGAAGTTTTAGACGGACTTAAAAAACCTAAAACAACCAGTTGAAAACAAACCAAACTAAAATTTTTTACTGAGATGAAATGACCGAAGAAGTTGAAAACGGTAGATTTGACACCACAAACAAAAAGTTCAGAAACCATTGTCAAAACCTGTCAAAGAACTTACAGATGAAGAGAAAAATTCAATAATAGAAAGTGCCAGGTCTGAAATACAAACCCTAACTATAAAGTCACTTTTCATAGAAATGGAACGGCTAGTATCTCAAAAAAGAAACAGACTCTCACAAAAAAAATATTGAAGTCTGAAGGAGCTTCGAGACAACAGATGGAAAAGTTTATTCACTGACCAACAGTTCATTATAGAACATCTCATTGACTTAGAGTCGAAAATTCTAAACTTACAACAAACACAAAAAGTTGAAAGGAAAACAAAAACAAATGGCATATGATATTTATGAAGATGTTGACGACACAACTGTTCCTGCATGAGGTAAAGTCAAAGGAACCGAAAAGTGACGAAAAACCGATAGAAGAAGAGAAACCAAAAACTGAAGATAAACCAAAACCAAAGTTTAGTTTCCAAACTAAACCAAGTCAACCTTCATTAGCTGGTATGGGTTGGCGTCAAAGACTTATGGCAGCAGTGGTTATGTAAAGTAAAGAAAAAAATATTTTTTTATTTTTATAAAAATGCCCCCCCATATAGAATGGATAGAAAGTCTGCTAGAATAAAAGCAGAGTTGCAAAGATATGGTTGGAGAGTTTCAGAAGTTTAAATATAGGAATGGAAGACCCATAAAAGTCTATGACAAACTGGCTGGTCTTCGCTACGAAATGGATTGGAAACAGCACGTGCCAATTATCCAAACAGACTAGAGAGGTTAGAAGAAGAACGTCTTATGGACATGCCTTTCGATGTTAGTGAACCTCAAGTTGAAGGACACGACGGCTTTGCCAGATTCTACTGCGAAAACATGACGAACAATTGCATCCTTTGAGAAGGAAAAAAGGTAGTGCAGAGGATGGTCATGCTCTCCCATGGAAAGAACAAGATATGCATATGAAAAGTATCGTGAAGTTAGAAGTCAAATTACATCTGGTCGAACCTTTACAGTAAACTTTGACGAAGAAAGAACAAAGAAGGCTTCATGGGTGTACTTGCTGCAATTCAAGATGGAAATAAAAGGATACAATCTCAGATTGACCATAACAGATTTGGATGGTCACATTTACTATGCAAATGGCAATGAACAAACAGCTGCAAAACTTCTTGACGCTTTCAAGACTACAAAGAGAGAACAAATGGTTGACTCCGACTCAGACATTTTGAATGCAATTGAAGGAATTGCAAGTGTCAAGTTCGAATGGTACCAACCTAACCCTCAAGCAGTCAGACAACATGCTGGATACTTCCCGTTCATAAATAAGTCTGACATTGACTTGACAAGGTATGGAATTTACAATTCAATTGAAACAATTGTCAATGAACCTTGCATTCTTACATGTCTCAGGAACTCTGGTCTTGTTACAGATGAGAAGATGAAGTATCTTGAGTCATGTGTGAAGACAAGGTACATTCTCAGAGGTCAATTGGCAAAAATTGCACCGTTGGCAAATGTCAATATCCGAGTCAACATACCTACAGCTAAAGGTTCTTCACATGACGACTATGTTGTTGAGTTCAATTTACCATGGTTGAAGATTGCAATTGTCCACAACCACTTCATGTTGAACGAAAGTCTTACAAACCCATTGTTCGGAAAAGGCAAGTGCAACATTGTCAGAGCTGTAAACATTCTTTTCGAGAAAGGTTTGTTGGAACCAATTCCAGATGACAAGCTGACAGAAACTTTTGTACCAAAAGACGAAACAAACTTTTCACTGTTAGCAAGACCAAAAGTTGTTCCAGACAAAGTTCTAGTACAAAAGAAGTACACAATTCCAAAAGGAGTTGGATTGTTCGGATACCAACCTGAACCAGAAGAACTTCCAATGAGGTTGCAAGAACTTCAAGATGCTATAAACAAACTTCCATTGAGACATCCAATTGACGTCAAATTGTATTGGAGAGCATCTGAGTTAGGTCAGAAGGTTTTATATGAAACAGGTTGCTTCGACGATGTTTATGAGATAACAGGAGAAGTTTCTCAGAAGATAAGAGACTCACTTGAATTTCCACAAACTGGACCAATTGGTTGCGACAAGTTCGACTCAGATGAAAAGATATACTATGTCGACCTTAACGCTGCATACATGAGGTTTGTCCAATATATTCCGACTGGAATTCCAAACGAAGATGGTGAGTTCCCGGGAAGGAACTATACAGTTGGAAAAGTCATACAACAACTGTATGATATTAGGAAAGCTTCAAACCCCAAACTTGCAATGACACTCAAATTGCTTATGAATTCGACATGGGGATATTCCATTAAGAAACCTCAAGAGATGAAGAGTAAACATTATGAGAAGGTCGACAACTTTGTTGAAAGGTTTTCTCCTTTTGTTTTGAAGTACGAATTCACTCAAGGTCAAAGTGGCTTAGTAACCACATTAAAACCTATTGTCGAACATTGGTCTTACCCTCAGTTCGCAAAGGCAGTCCTTGACAACTACAACAAATTCTTCTCCGAAGTCAAATCCAAAGTGAAGGTTTACTATGAGAACATTGACGCACTCATGACGAACGAAGAAGGTACAACAAACTCATTGAAATGGGTATGGTCGGTGAAAAGATGGGTCAATTCAAATTGGACAAAATTTTCACCGAAGTTCATGTCCTCTCCAAGCGTAAGTACTGGGGCATACTTGAAGACGGCACAGAAATAAAACATTGCATGAAATAAAAAATTTTTATTCGAATTTGAATTAAAATGTGGGAATTCTTGGGAACGGGAAAGGCTTATTTACTTGAGGAACAGGTAAAGGTGGTGGAGGTGGAGGTGGTGGCAACCAGTCCATTTTATATTCCTTCCTAGCTAATTTCCGTTTAATTTCATGGTCGCCCTCGGAGTCTTTGAATCGGACAGGTCGAGTTACACCATTCTTGGTCTCAAACTCATATATAACCTGTTTGTCTGTATTTTCATCGACTATGGCACGAGACACGAACATTGACCAAACGGACAAAAAGTGTCATTTCGGATGGTCACGCAGCCAATCGCATTCGAGCACTTCGAAGAAGCCTTACGTTCCAAGGGAGAGGGTGTCTGGTGCAAGGCAGAGGTCATGAAACTCTACGAGCAGTACATCCTCAATGCCTGGGAGGACAAATCGTCCTTGGATTGGCAATTCTACCAACTCCTCTGGGACGACCTCCTACGCAACTGGGATAACGAAAGAGCCCAATTCAAAGGTCGGGAACTAATTTTGCAAATTACCCTTAATTTAACATACTTATCCAAATAAACACCTAAATTTACTTGGGGTTTCCCCCTAAAATAAAATTTTTTTACTCTTAGAACCACTCGAGGTTCTCCTTACGGTTGTTGAGCTTGTCACCGTCAATGTGTCTGACCTTCGTCTTCTTGCCTGGATTTGGAACCCATTGAATTGCGACAAGCTTGCCCATGGAGATTGAACCGCGATTCCGAAGGTTAAGGTTCAAGTGTCCCAAGTTGTTGAGGACTGGGGTAAGAACCTTTCCTGTCTCCTTGTTGCGGATTTGGTATGGGTAGGGTTGGGAAATTTCGTAACCGTCATCGGCAACAAGGGTTGCCCAAACTTCCTCTTCTTCGTGTTTCTCTTCTTCCTCTTCTTCCTCTTCTTCCTCTTCTTTGATAATACCTTCGGCAATTCTGTGTTCACGAAGTACGGTGTTGCATGTTCTGTCCTTTCCGAGTACCTTCCAGATGGCGTCTATCTCTTCGAAGAAACGGTAGATGAGTCTGGCAAGGTCTCGGTTCTCTCTCTCGTAATTGCGCAAGGTTTCCGTGAAATCGTTCAGGCATTTCTCATTGGAAGCTTGGTTCATGAGGACATCGGCTTTGAGATTGGTCATCTCTGTCATAAGACTACTTTGGAGAGTCTTAATGGTGTTTGTCAGATGAGCTTTCAATTGGGCAATTTGAATTTGAACTGGGCGCTTGTCTGGCAACCTTGAAAGGACATCTGCTATTGTGTTCGGCTTCGGTGCTTGTTCGGACATCGAAAAATGAAGTGGTTTGAGAATGACGGTTTTACTTCAAAAAGCTTGTTATGACAGTTATGTCATACAACAAGTTTAAAATAATATCTTGTTCTTCTTCTGAACGTTTGTTGTCTCTTCCGATAAAAGTTTGGAACATGAGAACCAAAAAACGTTTTTTGAGGAACCGAAAGAGTTCAGGCAAACGTTCATATTCCGGATATGTTGGGAGCAGTTCGAAACATCTGAGCTGACTTTCGGACAAAATTGGGACAATGTCAGAAAATTCATCTTTGGTCGGACTGCTTGAAGGTAAGTCCCTTACATGTAAGTAGCTCTGGTAAAGTCTTCTCATTTCTGCTAACTTTTGGAGTATAGCTTCGTAGTTTAGAAGTTTTAATTTTAATTGTCTTATTCCACTCTTGACATCTAAACGGTAACTATCCATGAGGTCAAGAGTAGCTTTGGTAGCTTTAAGTGGAGCTATCTGTTCCTTGACTTCTGCAATTTTGGTTGCAATTGTGTTTGAGCTCCTTCAAGTTCGCCGTCTATGTCGTTCTCAACGCCTTCAACCATGGCTTGAAACTCTTCATCGGTCCATTGAGATTGGTGTGGGACGAATTTAACTTGCTTCATTCAAAAAATGAAAAAAAATGTTTTTACTCAAAACGTTAAGGTTGACTGAACTGGTTGGATGTCGCCTTCACAGGTTATGTAGAACGGCTGACCCGAGAAGTGAAGGAGAGACTGAATTGCCAATTTCATATGGGGTAGGGGGTTCTCCTTGTTTGGTATTTTTATCCAAGGACGTTTGTTTAGGAACTTAACAAGAGTTTCTCTTTTGGCGTCCTTTATGTCGTCGAAAGGAGTTTTTTCTGGTATTTGAATTGGAATTCCAGTCGAAGTCTCGAGATTCAAGGCAGCCCTTCCAGAAATAGCGGTGAACTTGACCTTGGGCTTCATTACCCTGCGCAAGTACTGCTTAACAACTTCATTTATCTCTATAAGGTAAATTGCCTCGTCAAATCCTTCTGGTATTCCGAGTCCTTCCATCCGACAGGAAAATATTTTCCCGACAACTTGAAAAAATTTTCCGGACAAAGGGAAAAAATTTTCCCGACGACAGGAAGAACTCTTCCAGTTGTCCGTCCGTAAACCATTCAAATTTTCGAAAATTGAGAACTTTTTGGTCGAACTTCAGAAAAAGTTTTTCCTTCCGACAGAAAAAGTTTTTTCTTCCGACAGAAAAAGTTTTTCCTTCCGACAGAAAAAGTTTTTTCTTCCGACAGAAAAATATTTTCCATCCCACAGGACACAAACGAATGTCCGACGTCCCACCAACCGAGTCCATTCCCAAACCAGAGGAACCTAAAGCACCAGCCCCTGCACCTCAGTTCCAGCAAGTACCTCCGATTTACTACCAATTTCCACCTCAAGGTTACTACCCACCACAAGGCTTCCCGAACTACCCTCCTCAGCCTATGCCTTACTTCCCCAACCCTTGGATGTTTATGCAAAACCCTGCCCCACAATTCCAATCTCAATCCAAGAGAGACCAAGAGTTCGAAGAAGGTCTGAACCGCTTACGCAAAGATTATGCTACTGCCCCTATGGAAGACGACAGGCTTTCAGTCTCTTCCCTCAAATCGACCGATTCGACTCGTACCACAGATTCGGTTCGTGACCGTGAAGACTACCTCAAGCAGTCTGAGAGACTCTTCATCCTACAACCATTTACAGTTGGAGCTCTCAAGAACATGCGCAATTACGAAGGTCAGACACCAGCTGGAGACCGCAAAACAGACGTACTCGCAAGAGCCGTCCAGCTCGTCAAAACAAAGACTGAGATAGTCGACTTCATACTTGCAGCTTGCCCATACAAGTAAAAAAAATAAACAATTACGAGTTAAACTTTTTTATTCTTTCTTTTCTGAGTTGTTTAGAGCTGGTTTCTCTTGTAGGAACCTTTCGTACTCTTCCATGGTCATGTAATTGCGAATTTTGTACGCAATTCCAGGTTCGTTGTTTTTGAACCTGATGTATGTAACGCTTCCATCCTCCTCAGGGAAGTAAGCTGCTAACATCTGACCAAGTTTTCTCGGTGACTCGGAGCTCATAAAAATGTCACTTTTAAACGTTAAGTTTTTAGTCTTATTTTACCCTTTGTTTACCCTTTGTTTGTCAAGGTAGTATTGGAGTGCAATTTCTCCAAATTCTCTGTGTCGGAGTTCTTCAGCATTTTCCAAGGTGTACCTGGAGAACTCAAAAAAGTTGTCAAGAAGATACTGCCATGCTGCTCTTCTGAGTTCGTCGGTATTTTGGAAGTGTTGCACCTTCGAGTCTTCGGACATGAAAAAATGACACTTTTTCAGCAAAAATAATGTTTAGGTGAAGTGGTGAGATCTCACCTGTTTTTTCACCTCTTTTCTCACCTCTTGAATTTGTCATGAATTTTCCCGAAATAAAAAATAAAGTTAGTTTTATTTTTATTTATTTTTTTATCCGGAATATAAAGACAGATATGTCAACAACAGAGAACACAACAACAGTTATAGTCCATGAAGCCATAAATGAAGAATACGAGTACATACAGTTTAACAAACAACTCCGTCTCATTCGTTCGGTCAAAGACGATATGTACCAAATGCAAAGTATTTTGACAGCATGTTTTGCTCCAGATACCAAACATACAGACGATTGGTTCAAAAACCAAAGCACACAAGAACTTTTGAGCGAAGCACAGCGAGACCGACTTTTTTCGGGGTCGCCTAAAACTCATGAAAATCGTAAAAATTTGCCAAATGGTTTGAGAGGTTGGTATGTACATAGACTTCTTGTAAATGCTGTTGCAATGTGGGCTTCGCCTCGTTATGCTTGGTATATTTACAGACTTCTTGACGAAATTCATAGACAAGAACGTGAAGAGATGGAAAAGAAACTTCAAGCAAAAAATGAAGTCATTGAAGCAAAAGACAAAAGCATTCAGAAAAGAATACCACGTTCGGTACCAAAAGGTAAGGAAAAGAACTATAAGTATATGATTTATACTGAAGAGATGGAAAATGAAGAAGATAAAGATATGGTTATGTTGCATTTAGTCAGAAGAAACAACAAAAGCTTTTACGACCTTGCTAAGATTTACAAATCTGACAGAAATTGGTTCTATCGCGAAAACTTACCGATTTCAATGACCCCAAATGAAGATGTGAAACAAATAGTTCAAGATACGTTACCTCAAACACACTATGATATGAAAGGTTGTACAATACTTACATTCAAAGAAGATTTGCCATTGTTAAAGGAAAAAATAACAGAGTATTTTGACAACTTCAAACAAGTAGAGTAAATGAACCATTTATTTTTCAAGCTTGACTTTTTACAATTTGAACTTTGTTTGCGTAGATATGAATTCTGAAAGAAGTATGAGGGTCTTGTATGACTTTATACTTCTCCCATAGTTCATGTCTGTCAAACTTACCTGCCATGGACTCTTTCATAAGTTCCATGAAATCGTCTTCGGACAATCCGGGGAAAAGTACAATGTCAGTAAGTATTCTCTTTACATCCTTACTTAAACTCTTTGCTGTCTGTACACATATTACGACTGAGATGTTAAAGTGTCTGAGCTTCTTAAGAATTCGACACATATCTTGTTCTCTATTCTTTAACAAAGGATGAGAGGCGAAATCATCTAAGATAAGAA